CTCTCTCTCTCTCTCTCTCTCTCTCTCTCTCTCTCTCTCTCTCTCTCTCTCTCTCTCTCTCTCTCTCTCTCTCTCTCTCTCTCTCTCGTTTGAGAACAACTGTATATAACAAAAGATTACTCGATAATTTTCAAGATAAAAATTAAAAGGATTTCAAAATAATTTAACATAATCGTTTTGACAGATGTGATGAAGATGTATAAAAGTTTTTCTTTAAATAGAATCACGCATTATTTATTATTCATTACGCTAATGAAACTAATTCTCAATTATTAACAGAAAAAAAAAGAAAATTTATTAACACGTGTAATTTTTACACGTGTAAATAAAATGTAATAAAAATCGAATGTTTTATGAAACTTTGTTGTTTCATAAAATTCGAATAAAAATTCGAATTTATAAACTCATGGATTTTTCTTGTCATAAAAAATTACATTAATTAATGTAACATAAAATTTCAATACTTAAAAAAATTAATTAATTTTCACCCGTTCTTTTATATTTCATTTATTATTAAAAAAGAGAACTGTTCCAATTATCCCTCCCTCCAAATCACCCAATATCTTCTCGTCGAAATCATTACTTATCATTTCCTTGCCGACTCCATTGAAATAAAACAAAATAACCAAACCGAATAATATTAACTTATTCATTACGTTTCACTTAGAATTGGTTTCACTTCAGAAAAGTTGTCATTTATTTCCAAAGATTCATTCGTTTCATTCCAATTTCCCCACAAATCATTATCGACGATATTAGCGTCCCCCAAACACAGCCAAACCGAGGAGATCCTCTTCTTCTCTCCTGTTATTCGACTGTGTTTAATGGAGCTGCATCTACTACGCCCACGAGATCAACGTGGGCCGAGCAGAGCGTAGGTTTCCACGCGCATTGTTCTCGATATCCTCTCGATTCATCGAGAGAAAAGGCCGGAAGAGGAGAAGGCGCAGAAAGGGGTTGGTTGATGATTCGACCGGCCTTGATTCTCGCAGGAAGCGATTTTATAGCTCGCTTATCTAACCTCCTCTTTCAAAATAATCATCAGCTTTTCCGCGAGAAGCTAGGCAACATCTCTGCATCTTCGAGAATCGTGAATAATAATCCTTCTTCCTTAATCTGACTTAACGTCACTTCTTTCTTTTCTTTCTTTTTTTTTTTTTTTTCTTCTTGAATCTGTCTCTCTCTCTCTTCTTTTTCTCTCTGTTTAGTCGCCAGTGTACACAAGATGGTCTGTTTTCAAGAGAGATCACCGAGCTCTCTTGTGCCTTTCTCGAGGCACTCCTCTCAACCTTGAAGCAACAGGGTCATCCAGAAGCAGCCTCTTGGGTCCCTCGTTTTTCCCCCCCTTTTTCTTTGCTTTTTTTTTTTTTTTTTTTTCACTTCGTTCGCGCACCAACTCGCCAACGTTGGACGAAAATATGGATGATTTTGGAATCTCGTGTCAATCCATTTCCACGCGAATTTTCTGTTGTTTCTACGTTCTAATATTCTAATGATTTTACCAGCTATGATAGTAGACATGGAAGAAGATATGTAAAATTTGATGAGTTTTTTAGAGTGTGATGATGATTCAATCCTATTGTATCTATCAATTTTTTTTTTTTTTTTTGAATCAGTATATAATTTTAATAATTGATAAATGATATATCGATGAAAAAGAATCATTGTCCGTTTGGTATTTTAGTTTCGCGTTTTATGCTATGCGATTCATAAAAAGTGAACGAATGAATGAATGAGATTGAAAACATAAAAATTCGAAATATCGATTATTAGTTCAAAAAAATTATATAAACGTTTTTTTCTAGTAGATTTTATTATTGAAATATTTATTTACGAAACGAGTTTGATCTTCGAGTTTTTTTTCGAATTTTTTTTTTTTATATTTGTCCATTTATTAATAAAAACGTGAAGTATTTATAACTCCGCGGTTAAATATTTGCAAAAATTGTACACTCAAATTTAGTTATATCTAGGCATGTGGAAGAGAATATCGATATTGTTTAAACATTGTAATCCACGTGTATTGAACACACGTTCTGGTATAAAATGTGATTTTTTTTTTTTTGTGAACTTTTTTTACAAGAAATCTTTGCAAGCAAAATTGAATTGAAATAAGCGTGCACATGTTTGAATAAAAATGATTTCACTCCTAAAACATTCAAAATAATTAATTATTTAATAATACAAGAAAATATCAAACGACAATTTATTCTTTTTTAAAAAGATTTACATTTTTAAAATTAACCCTTGTGCCAACAATAAACAAAAACTACATTTTAGATTCGAGTAATTTTCTGTAAAATTGATTAACAATGTGAAAAAAAAAAGGAATTCGAAGTATTGGCAAAAGGGTTAATTTAATGCAACGAAATGATTTGATGATCGTACAACAAACATGTACAACACATGTGTATCGTTTTTTAAAATCTACTTGTGGGCTTGTGTTTAGAAAAAAAAAAAAAATGACTAATTGATCTCGATAGTGTGTGTACCCTCTTTCCTCATAGGTTAGAAAATAGGTTAGTTTGTAATGGGGGTTGCTGGCGTTGCAAATTAATCATAGCGATCGACATAGATGCAAAAATGCGTTTATTTGTGCATAGTAACAGCCATCTAACGATCACAAGCTTCGGTTTACAATCACTGTTTGTAGATCGTATATACGTAAATATATATATATATATAAAATACATGTTTTTACATATATATGTATATATATATATAAATATCGCTTGTAGTTGAAATATTCGTTTTAACCTGCGAGAATCCTTTATTCGTAATTTAGTGCGACGACATATTATTTATACATATCTGGTAATGCGGCAGATTTGTCATAGAAAACATTTTGTCGCTTCTATATATATATATATATATATATATCCATACGTATACATAAAATACATATGTATTAGATATTAATATATTCGTGGGATAGAGGATTAATTTTAAAGATAAAAAAGAAACGGAAAAATTGGTATATAAAAATGTTGGTTGAGACTTAAGTGAAGTTAAATGAAGCGAGAGAGAGAGGATATCTCGCTTTATCTAATGGAAACTTCAGTCGCTCGTATCTCGATATAAATAAACTTAATAACTTAACCAATATTTTTATATTATATCAACTTTCGTTTTGTAATTTTTAATCTCTTAGAATTAGATCCAATAAAAATGTTTCACGAATGTATTAACACTTTGTGTACATATATATATATATATATGTATATAAATTAGAGCAATTGTTTATTTATTTTTTTCTTCCTCACTTTTTCTTTTCTTCTTTCTTTCGATTTCATTAATTCAATGTCATATAAATATATATATATATACACATATATATATACATATATATAAATCGAGTAGTGTCTTAGTATTATCTATCTATATATCGATGTACATTAATATTATTGTTATTTATTACTCGTTGTTAGATTTTATCACTCATCCCTATTTTTTCTAACACCGCTCTCCAAACGCCAAAGGAATGTTTGTCTTATAAATTGTATATTGTCGTGCCACCGATAATCATAGATTAACCACCATTGTTATTAAGATCTCTAAGATCGAGCAATACATTTCCCGTTCCCCTGGTTTTAGAAGGCATAATAATTATTAGTTTTTACACGAGCAGTCGAACGATCTTGCTGTATTCTCAAACGGTTCGAGAGATCGCGTAATAAGTCAGAACGAGTTTAAAATGACAAAATACCCTTCTCTCGACCGATATTTGTCTCCTTTAAGCCCGATCACGTGTACCTTTGACCCCCTCCCTCCCTTCCCCCCCTCTCTCCTCATATTCCTCCTCCCTGTCCTCAATCACCATTTTTCTTCCAATCCATTCCTAATTTCTCGAGTCTGTTGTATCACTTTCTTTCGGAACGAAAACAAGCATCGACGATTTTCGCAGGCTTTCCACGACTCTTCTCGGAGAAGAGGATCAGAGGAAAGAGGGGAAAATGAGTTAGAGAGACAAAGGCGCAGAGCAACAACGAGCCGGGCTACACACGAGACCGAGCACGAGCCTTTTCACCCGAGAACCCCTGTTCCGTCTCTCTTTTTTTCAAGGATGCAGGTACGAATCCTGGTCGCCGGTCCTGGTGAACCGACGTTGGACCACCAGGTGCGAGCACGAACAACGGAGCGACGGTGACCGGGACCCGGTATATTGTCTCTCGTGAGTCCCTAATTACCGAAACTCTCTGATCAATGCTGCTCAGGTAAAGAGAGAAAGGCAATCGGAAAGGGCTGCGGACCGTCGATAGCTATTTTTGTACTTTATCAGGATTCTTGTTTTAAATATGAACATGTCCAAATGGTAAAAAGTAAAAAGTATTGGAAGAAATAAAAGTTACGTATATTCGTAATACGTAGTCTCAATGCGAAAGGCGATAGTCTTTCGGTTATTTTCGGCTAGCTTCGGTAAATTCCGTCTTTCGGTAACTTTCGGCTGATTTACCGACGTTAGCCGAAAATAACCGAAAGACGATCAATCAATCGAAATCTTCGAAGATGATGTCTCAGTGAAATATCCGGACGATTTTTGTTTATCTGGACGTTTTTTTTTTTAAATATTCCGATATTTCGCAATCAACGATTTTAATATCTCGAATTATTTCGTTCATCTAGCTATGCAGTTTCAACTCTTCCATTCGATCCCGTTCGTAACAAACATCGCGTATTTACTCGATATGCAAACATTTCACGAGAAGATCAGTTTTCTGGCAGTCCTACTTTTCCACTCTCTCTCTCTCTCTCTCTCTTCTCTCTCTCT